CAATTTGGCAGCAAAATATGCCTGGCTGAACCTAAATGGCCAATCCCATTATAAAATTCGCTAGAGAACAACTATTCCAAACTTTTGTCTTAAAAGAATTTGCAACAAAGGAATAGAAAATGTAGGGAAGTTCCTTCGTTGTACATGTCATTCCCTCGACCAATCTCTCCTCCTTGCTTCTGGGAACATGTAAGACTTTATGCAAAGGCAATTTATATTTAAACCAAACATGAAACATCATCAGTTTTTCAAAACTAACCAAGATGTTTGTTCTTTGTTTCTTAAGCTTCTAACCTTAATAGTTAATAGCCTTCTTCCATGTCATCGCTCAAGTGGCATGTCTTAACTTCGATTACCAACAATTTGATCGAACTGATAAAACCTTTCAGATAAGCGAAAAAACTTCTATTATATTCGGGGACGCCGTCCAAGTTACGTTGGACAACAGCCGCGGATCTGTGATGACAAATTTACCCGAACGAGCTTGGCACGTACAGCCGTTTAAGCGTTGGAGAAAAGGCAGAGGCAGAGACAAGATCATTGCTTCTTTTAATTCAACCTTTGTGATTATTATTTCACCAGCTCAGAATACGACTCCAGTTGGCGAGGGCTTGGCCTTTATATTGACAGCAAATTCCACCGTGCCAGAAAAGAGTGATGGGAAGTGGCTGGGGATTGTAAATGAGAAATCAAACGGATCGTCCAAAATAGTAGCTATAGAATTTGACACGGTGAAGAGCTATCCGGAGAACCTTGATGATAACCATATTGGATTGGATTTAGGAAGCATATACTCCACTGAACAGGTTGGTACTATCAACTTCTAAACTTTAATTTTAAGTTGATTTCAAAAGTTTAAACTTCTCTAATAGCTAAGTACTAACTTCCCTTTCTTTTTTATTCTTCTTTTCTTTTGAATAAAAATATAGTTTTCGCTTAATGACTCTAACTTCCAGCTCAGTAATGGAAAAGAAATACGCGTAAATGTCCTTTACGACGGCCAAAGGAAAAACCTGAGTGTTTTTATTGGAACAAATGAAACGAAGGAGTTCATCACAATTTCCAAAATTATTGATCTCTCCAGTTATCTTCCAGAGGATGTTTATGTGAGCTTCTCAGCCTCAACAGGTGATAGAATAGAATTAAGTTGCCTTGTATCTTGGAGTTTCCAAGGTGAAGATATAGGTGGAAGGAGCTTGTTGTGGGTTTGGATCTCTGTTACAGCCGTGGCTCTGCTCATTCTATTTTTTGTGGTTGCCTTTTTCCTGCATAGGAGAAGGAAATCCAGGCAAGAAGACCCAGGAGGAGCATATCCGAACTTAGAAGATCATATTAGAAGCTCCACCGCACCAAGGACGTCCGGCTGAACGAACTCCGAAAAGCAACCGGAAACTTTAACCCCAAGAACAAGCTCGGAAAAGGGGGATTCGGGACGGTCTACAAGGGCATCTGGAGAAACAAGGAAACAGCTGTTAAAAGGGTCTCCAAAAAGTCGGGGAAGCGAGAATTTGTAGCAGAAGTCACAACAATCGGCAACCTGAATCACAAAAATCTGGTGAAGCTGATCGGATGGTGCTACGAAAGCCGAGAGCTCCTCCTTGTTTATGAGTACATGCCAAATGGGAGCCTGGATAAGTTCATATTTTTTATGACAGCCGGAAGGAGTTGACACTCTATACTGGGAAACAAGGCTTAGCATAACAAATGGCGTAGCTCAGGCACTAGAGTATCTCCACTACGGTTCTCAGAAAAGGGTGCTTAACCGGGCCATAAAATCGAGCAATATAACGTTGGATTCAGAATTCAATGCCAAGTTAGGTGATTTTGGATTGGCCAGAACAATTCAAGGTAAGGGAAAAACCCACCATTCCACCCTAGAGATTGCTGGAACCCTTGGCTACATGGCGCCAGAGACTTTCTTGATCAGCAAGGCAACTGTAGAAACAGATATTTATTCCTTTGGTGTTCTCCTACTGGAAGTTGTCTGTGGGAGAAAACCAGGAAAACAAAATGAAGAGGACACTTACAATAGCAGCATTCTAAATTGGATATGGGATCTTCACAAGAAGGGAAGGATAGTTGAGGTCGCAGATCCCAGAATGGAAGGGAAGTTTGAGAAGGAAGAAATGGAGTGTGTGCTGATTCTGGGGTTGGCCCGTTGCCACCCAAACCCGAATTACAGGCCCTCCATGAACATTGTTCTGCAGGTTATAACAGGGGAGGTAGAGCCTCCTCAGGTGCCCCTTGAGAGGCCCTCGTTTGTTTGGCCAGTAATGCCTCCTTCCTTCAGTAAGTTGGAGAACTCCACGACGGAGAGTCTGCTTGCACCATTTTCAGAGGTTACAGGGAGATAGAATGAGCATCCGAAGGATGTGTATATACCAATAAGGTAGAACAGAAAGCCTTGTAGCCCTATTTATAGCATACTGGCTGGTGTTATAGCATTTCTATTGTGTTAATTTAGATATAAGTTTTGCCACCTTTGTTTGAAATAATATCAATTTCTAAATTGAAAATCTTTGGAGTTTCTCTTTATACTAAAACATAAGTGTAAGTCTAGAAATGAAAGGGCTATTTCTCAATGTAAATTAACACATCATCATCTGATGTACAAAAGAAAGCATGTAATCTGAAAAATCCCAATATGTGCCTTTCCAAAGGCATTTTTATCTAGTATTGAGAAAGTGACTCCAGTTATGAACCAGTTATGAAGTTTCTCATCAGTCAGCCATTTTAGAAATCCAGGGACTTCAAAAAAGGGAAGAAAGAAAAAGGTCGAACCTCATTCATTACCAGTCTGCACTGCCAATTGCTGTGTTCCCAAATCATGGCACAAATCATGCGAGATCTCAAGAACTGGCCGATCGTCTATTCCTTTCTTCACCTTATAGGCGCCAAAACCACAAGAAACTTAGATATGTTTTCGGTGCTCCAGAAAGCAAACAGATAGAGAACATAAAAGAATAACAGTGAAATACCAGTAGTGAAATTGAGCCAATGGCATGACCAGGTACTAGTTCCCAAAAGTGGGCTTGGGAAACTTCCGTAACATCTTCACAATAGATAATCTAAACAGAAATTGAATTTTCAAACATGAAAATTACAAATAAAAACAAAAATTTGTTGGAAAAGAGAGAACCTGCTGCCAGCATTTGCTCAATGCTGAAGACGGAAATGTTAGGTGGTTCCATTTGAGGCAATAAACTCCCAGTATCTTTGAAGAGAGGCATGACAAGCATTAAGACTGCTACTGAAACTAATCCCACACATAAAACTTCCGCATTGTTGACCCTGCAAAGAGGAGTAATAGTAGAATTATATTAGTTGAACATGGAGGAGGTAAGTGAGGACAAATCTTTCCCGAGATATATATGAAATAAGAAATTACCCAAGGGACAAAAACCATAAAGCCAAAATCAAACCTGCTCTGACAAACAACTAAGGAAGAGGAGCTTTATAAGGATGTGAATATCAAATTTGATATACTTTACCAAAAGAAGAGGAGCTTTATGAATGGAATCTGCAAGAACAGGTAAGCAAACTAAGTGGTAATTCATATCTTCAGCTTTTCTGTATACTGCGAGAAAATATTCATTCATAAAAAGAGTAGGAAGGACAATCATTTTCTAGTTTTCAAAGAGAAAAGAAAGAGAATAGTAGGAAAAATCTAGTTAAGGCAAACATTTATAAATAAATAAATAAATAAAATAGACAAATTGAAGAACAAAGAAAAGCTTTAGTCATCTAAACAAAATTTTTATTTTCTTCTACCTATAGGGCACCTATCATAGGTTTACAAATGTAAAACAAAATTATTTTGAGTTTATATAAGACTCCTAATTTTAGGAATTTTTATTTTTCTAGCCACTTCCATAAAATTTTACTAAGTGAATTATTACGTTAATTTACT